GCCGAGGAAGGCAGTGAGCTCAGGCGCAGAGGGGCGGACAGCACAGAGCCCCTTGCAGATGTGCACCCGTGGGGGAGAGGTAGCATCACAGACTCGGGAGGTGATCGACTGTCCACAGGGAAGGCCATCCAGGTGGATACACAGTAATTCACGTGAAAGGCAAAACCTTAAAACATTTGGAAGAAGAGTTTCATGAGCTCATTTAGCAAAGGGTTTATTGAATAAGACAAAAAAGCACAGAGAAAAGACAGTGAGACAGAGTATGTCAGAGCTTAACATGTTTGTTCACCAAAAATCAAAACCAACACAAAAATGTGAGCACAGACCAAGACAAAATATTCCATGTGTGTAATCAACACAGGACTGCTATCCAGAATGCACAGGCAAGTCTGCCAATCAGAGAAGCTAAGACAAACAATTCTACACAGCAAAAGGATGAGACAATCCCCAGAGGAGGAAAATGAGGAGCCAAGAACACACAGACACTCAATCTCCCAGGCATCAGGCACGGACACTAAAACCACAGACTGACCACTGACCAAGAAGAAAATGGATGGAGCAGGCACGCTGTGGTAGGGGAGGAACGGGCAGAACACCCCAGAGAGCATCCAGCATCTGTGCAGGCTGGAGACACCAACCCTGCAGCTGCCATGGAGCCTTCAGTGGGAGGCACAGCCACGCCCACAGCCGCAGGATCACACACAGGTGCTCTGTGGCATGACTGCCTGCAGGGCCCTCTGGGGCACCATCTATAAAAGGAAAACTTGGAACCCAATGGCATGGGTGCTGTGGGAGGACAGCTGGTGTTCCGTCAGGTGCTGACCGTGCCCCATGATGGCCCATGAACCATAGGGAGAGTCAGCATGAGGAGAGCTGGCCAGAAAGAAGCAGACAGATGCTGTGCAGCCTGGGTAAGTCAGGGTGTGGCTGGGCACGTGCACAGAGGTCAGTGGAATCACCAGAAGGGCAGAAGCAGATCCAGTTCCTCATGGAAACCTAGGACAGACAGCTCCGACCAGGGCACAGGCAGCCTTTAACAAATGGTGCTGGGACCATTCGATAGCATTTAGGAAATGAAAAAGTCGGACTCATCCCTCACCACACACAGGAATAAACTCCAAGTGGATCCAGGATGTGAACATAAAAGCAAAACTATACCAGCACCATCAGAAAGCTTTGGGCTTTGCCCCCAATCTGGGTGAAGTGAAAAACTTTCTAACGGTGACTAAAGATACAGATGCACTAAAAGAAAAGGTCAATAAACTGCAAAATAAAAAAAGTTTTGGCTTTTTGGACATATTTGATGAAAATATTAAATATTTGCATTATAAATTATAGGTACAGGGCTCATATCCTTAATACACAAATTTGGAGAAGAAAAAACAAAATATATTGTAGAAAAATGGGTATGAGATAAGAATAGACAATTCACACAGGGAAGACATGCCACTTCACCTGGCATCAGACATAAAAGCCTGGCCACACTGGGACCCTCGGCACACAGGCATAGCACACACGACTCCCTGGAGGGCACACGGTGGACAACATCCCCAAGTCAGCAACCCCTTGCCCAGATTTACCTGAAGAAACACCTCCAACAACACAAATTACATGAGCAAAGGCTCTTCGCTGCAGAATCCTGGAAGCTACCTCAATGTCCAACATGGGACTGGCTGACACACACAACCAGGAAGCTGCAAGGCAGGACGAGCTCTGTGACCCGAGAGGCAGTGATCCAGTGGGTCCTTCCAGACAGACACTTAGATCAGCCAGGAAACCTACCTGCTAGAGGCAGGTGTGGGGCTTGGAGAAGCTCTACGAGGAGCGGCTCCTCTCTGAATACACCTTTTGTATACTGTCATCTTTTGGAAGAACGTGAATGGTCCACATGTTTAAAAAACAAAATTAAATCAGTAAGAAGGGGAAAGGGGAGGAAAACAACTCAAACTAAAACAAATGAACTCAACTGTATTTCAGTGAACATCAGGACCACAACAAGGGGAATAAGGACTAATCCCAGTAACTTGTGCACACAGGGCCGGACACTGTTCCTGCTCCTGGGTGGAGTGTGCATGCGGGTGCAAATAAATACTGAACTTTGTTTTTAGTGTATATATATACACACACACACACACACACACATATTTTTGTAGTGGAATGAGAGAAACAATTCTGGACATACTATCAGATGAGCCAATGAGTAGATGCAGTGGTTCTCTGGGAGCAGAGTTCTCACCCAGGAAGAGGGGATGTGACCGAGGAAGGGGAATGGACTGGAATTGGAAGTGTTGGTGTGAACTCAGCAATTCTAACATGTGTATGTTCATGTGCACATTTGTGTACATATTTTCTAGTCTGTCAGTGCTTAAAGGGCCAGGAAGCCACCACACTGTGGGAGCCATGAGCATACTATACATGCAGACTGGTCCTCCAGTACTGCTACTCTGGCCCCTGGCCCCATAAGATGTTAACCACAACCCTGCTCAAAACAAGCCTAACATTCTCTTTAGCTCGCAGAAAACCACAAAGAAAGGAAAGAGAAGATGGCTGAACAAAACCAGTCAAAACCCGTCGAAGGCAACATGGCAGTCCGACTTAACCTCACACAGACCCCACAGCTCACTATACGCTCACTGTAATACGTCACCATATTATAGAACACACCCCCCAACGCCATGACAGTTTACAGCTGCCATGGCAATGGCAGGACACAACCAAATAAGGAAAGAAAGAGGTGGCACCCTTGCTCCCCAGAACAGCCTGCCCATTTCCCCGAACAACTCTGCATATTCCTCCCCTTCATTACCTCGACCCCTTATAACAGCTGCTTAGTCACCCCAGGAGCTGAGAAGCTGATGTGTGTTGTTCCCACTTCTCCATTCTTTGGCCACTGAATAAAGTTTGTGCTATTGAATGCTCAGCTTCAGTCTCATTTCAAAGTTGAGACACCAAACAGATTAAGAACCTCAAGAGGAAGGGCAGAAGACACTTCCTCGGGTCTCTCCCCAGTTGGAGAGAGAGTTCAGTTGGTAACACTCCATTTTCCTAAAAGGAACCCGGGCTCCTGGGACAAACAGTTGCTCCAGGGTAGGGCAGCACAAGAGGCCTGGAGCATCTTGTTAAGCCAGAAGGAAGGAAAGCTCCAAGAATCACAAGCACATGGGAGACAGGAGCCAGCCTGGAGGAGTGCACCAGGCCAATCTGGGGCAACACTTAAAGCGAGAACTGAAGAGTTAAAACTTCCCTGAATTAGGGCGAAACTCTGCCTTGTGTCCACAAGGTTAACACAGGAAACAAAGTAACCAAAGTTTCTGAGCTGGTTTTACAGAACAGCAGGAGGACAGGGATAAGAGCAGCTTGCCCACAGCCCCCGCCTGACTAAGCATCTTGCAGGAGCATTGAGAAGCTAAAATGACTGTAAACTTCAGACATTACAGACTAAAAATCCACCACATACAACACATAGAACTCCCCCGAATTTGCAGATGCCACCTGTGAAGAAATATGAAACAGCCGTGCCTGTGCAGAGGACTCTTAAAACTTAAGCTCCCAAGGCTACGTGCTCCCCTTCCCCTACCTAAAATCTCAGATAAAAACTCCTACCTTTTTCCCTTCTAGAAGGTGGATCTGAGTTTTAACTCCCCTCTCCTCATCTGGCTGACTTTCTATAATAAACCTTTCTCCTTGCCACAAGCCTGGCGTTCCAGTTATTGGCCCTCCTGTGCAGTGGGTAAACGAACCTGTGTTTGTGTTCAGCAACAACATGAGCACCAAAGAAATTAAGTGCAGGAATGAACTACAAACCACATAAAACAGAAAGGAATACGTGAGTCCATAGCAAGAATGAACAAGTGAACACATTAACAGGGAGAAGGGGCTCCTGTTCTAGCAGGGTGCACAGGTGGGAGGAGTGCTGTAGTGGGGAAGTCGGCATTCTGTGCCCATCCCAGGTAAGACTGGATCGAGTAAGAAACAATCAGAACACCTAACCGTGCGGAGCATGGGTGGTGAGGGGAGAGCAGCCATCATGCCCAGGGACAGCGGACGAGCATAAGGTGGACGTGGGCCTGAGAGAGCCTGAGAAGGACACAACACTGCTGTGCAGCGTTCCACTGAGGAACCATCAGACAAATCCAAACCAGGTGCTCTACTTAAAAAAGGGCAACTATTACCTTAAAAAGTGTCAATGTCAAAAAAGACAGGGACAGGCTGCAGAAACCCTCCAGATGCAGCAGATGCAAGCCCGGCGGGGTGAGCTGGTGAGGCGAGTGCACGATGGCGGGGCCAGGAAATGCTATGAAGGATGACAGGGAACCAGCTGCCAGAGCTGGACAGGGCAGCAGAGGAGACCCGAGCCTCGCACTAGCAGATTTACTCAAAGTGACACCAGTCCTGGGGGAAGCGAGCAAACACTGGCCCATGACCTGAGCGACCCAACCCAAGATGACTCAGAGAACAGCACTGTGTGTGGAGGGAGGAGGGAGCACACGATGGCCACCAAGGGTGAATCTGGGCAAGGGGACACAAGTGGTCAGCGCACTGTCCTGTTTTTGCAACTTCTCTGTTAGTATGGAGTTATTTCCAAATAAAGCTAAAAATTAGAAAAATAAGAATGAGAAACTATGGCTACTGCCTCAGCATAGATCTTTGCTCAGAGGAGCATAAAGAACTGGGCTCAGCCACAGGGCCTGCAGGGTGTCCAGCCCAGGCAGCAAGTCCACCTCAGTGAGGAGAAGGCCCTTGCCCGGTCATGCATCTGCAGCAGGAAGTGGGGCCACACCCGGGGACTGAGCTTCCCCAGGGGAGGTCAAACTCAGAAGTAAGCACAAGTCAGCTCTGAAGGAAAGTGGCCCCAGTCCTGCTGTGTGTAGGCGGGACAGCAGCTCCTCCGCCACAGCACTGGTTAACAAGCCAAGAGTCCTTCTCCTAAAGGAAGAGAGTGCTCCATCCCACTCAGCCACTCCTCTGGAACTTAGCGTGCACAGACAGCCCCTCCTTACCTTGTGCTTGACCCTGAGACCCGCGGCTCCTGCGTGCCAGCATGACGGCTCTCACATTCGTAGTCTTGAGCCTGGGACATTGCAGCCCTTTCCTGAGGACCGAGTGGACAGACGTCAGCGGGTCATTGGGATGCCCCTCCAGTGTCAGTCGGGAAGGCGCCACCCTGTGAGAGAGCAGAGTCTCTAAGCACGTAAATTCAGAAAACGTCTTATTACACCTTTGGGTTTCAGGAAGCAATAACAGCCCAGTGCTCTGGCGAGAATGAGGAATACCCAGGCCTAAGCGTGGTTTCCCACTCCCTGCACCCTGCCCCTGAACCCCAGCTGGGCCAGCCCTGCCCAGCTCCCTGCAAGCGGCCTGCCGCCCCGAGACATAGTGTCCTCAGCTGCCAGATAGGGACAGCACCACAACCTCGTGCCACTGTGGCTATGTGCAGGAAGTGCTCAGCAAGGGCCACCCCATGGCAACACTCAAGAAAAACTGATGCACACGTAGGGTTTCCTGGTTTATGACAAAGAGTGGACTTTTCAAAAACAGTGTCGTGTTGGCTGGATATATACATGGGGGAAAAAAGAACCTTGACCCCTACCTCATCCAATACACAAAACTCAGTTATACATAGATCTAATTGTAGATCTAATGTAGATCTAAATGTCAAAAGTAAAACAATAAGCCTTCTAGAAAAAACGTCTAAGAAAATCTTTGTGGCTTTACACTAGGTACAGATAACTTAATCAGGCACAAAACACCACTAACCACAAACGAAAAATGCATAAATTGGTCTATAGTAAAATTAAGAACTTCTGTTTATCAAGACACCATTATGAGCAAAAAGGCAAGTCAGAGTGGGAAATATTTGCTATACAGAAGATGCACGGTACATCACATATAACACATGAGTGTATACGTATCTAATCTGCCATGTTTCAGAACATATAAAAATTCCTAGAAATAAATAATAAAAAGGCAGATAATCCAATAGAAAAATGGACAAAAGACTTGAATACTCACTTTACAAAAAGGAATATCTAAATGACTAATAAACACATGGAAATGTACTCAACTTCACTAATTGTCAGAGAAATGCTAATTAAAAGCATAATGGGATACTGGTACACCCATCAAAATGGTGAAAATAGAGAGGAAAATCTATCACATGCTGGCAAGGATGTGGAGGCTCATCTACGGCTGCAAGAAACTGGCTAACCCACTCCAGACCACGGTTGCAGCATTTCCTAGAACTGCACATACACCCCCAGCCCAGCCACCCAGAGCTTCCACCTCTAGCGATGGAGGCCAGCAGAGGCTCACACATACGCTCTCCAAGACCTGCACACAGTGTTCCCAGAAGTCCTGGTCACGATGGCCAAAATGAGAAACTGCCAATGTTCGTCACAGCTGAACGGACACTCAAAGTGCACACAGGGGTCCACCCTCAACGACCTAGGTGAAGCTCCCAAACAGAAGGCGAGAGACAGAAGCCAGACATCACTGGACACACAGGGTTTGATTCCCTTACACAAAGTGCACATCAGGCAAAGTCAGCCTCTCCTGTTAGAAATCAGGAGCAGCCGCCTCAGGTTGAGTAGTCACAGGAGGGGCCTGAGGGCCATGCCGCTCTGTTTCCGGCCAAGTGCCCTTTATACAAGTGTGGGTCTGTAAAAGCTCACAGAGCTTCACGCCTGTGCTTTCACACTTTTCTGTATACATGCCTCGCTTCAGTAAAGTCTGCAGAAATAAGGAGCTGGGGCATCACTGGGGGCACTCACCTCCTTGTGCCCTGTCCCCATCCGAGTTGGCATCAGGTCGGGGCCCTCCCTAGAAGAGGCCGTCCACAGATCTTAACTGTGCTATTGGAGGGGAAATAAAACAGGTTCAAAGCAGCAGGTGGGGGCATAGCCAGCCAGGGGCCCAAGGGGAGGAGACGGCAGGCCAAGCAGACACTTTCTCTAAGGCCCAGAGGACTCTGGTGCTGCAGGTCCAATCTGACTCGCTCAGTTCACGAGCTGGAGAAGGCTGACCTGGAGGACAGGCTCCCAGCCTTCTCCTTTCTGCCAGTCAAATGTCCACACAAATATTTACATAAATGCTGGAGACTAATAGGAACGCCAATTTTTAATTTTTATTTATTTTTTTTTGGTGAGGAAGACTGGCCCCGTGCTAACATCTGGCGCCGATCTTCCTGTTTTTGCCTGAGGAAGACTGTCACTGAGCTAACATCTGTGCCAATCTTCCTCTATTTTTTGTATATGGTATGCTGCCACAGATGGCTTGGTGAATGGTGTGGAGGTCATGTCCAGGATCCAAACTTGCAAACCCTGGGGTGCTGAAGCAGAGCACGCGAAGTTAACCTACACCACCAGGCCGGCCATTTTTAAAAATGAAAGTCAAGTGTTTCTAATTTCTTGTCTGTCTGAGAGAAAATAGGTAACCTTCTGGTATGGCTCCAACATTTAAAAAATAAAAATAAAAACACAGCAGTGTTAGTGAAATTTTGAGAAACTAAAAAGTATCTACCATAACCCGAAAGCAACTCAAATCAACCACCTCCACCTGTGTATCTCCTTTCGGTCTCGTCCCATTCTTCACGGCCGGTCTAGAGCAGGACACAGCAGTCGGCAAAGACGTCTACTTCAATGCATCTGACTGGCCCTCCTTGTCTCAGAGTTGCCTCATGCATCACCTCCTCCAGAAAGCGTTCTTCAATCTGAGACAGACACTAGGTCTTGGTGACCCCAAACACCCTGGGTCTGAAATCAGGTACTGTTAGTCCTCCAACTTTGCTCTTCATTTTTGAAGTTGTTTTCATTACTCTAGGTCCTTCACATTTCCATATGAATTTCAGAATCAGCTTCTCAATTTCTGCAAAGTTGGGAAGCTTGCTGGGATTTTGATTGTAGTTGTGTTGAAGCTATACATCAATATGAAGAAAACTAACATCGTAACAATATCAAATCTTCTAATCTATGAACATGGCATATCTCTCCATTTATTTAGGTCTACTTTCTTTCAGCGGTGTTCTGTAGGTTTGAGTGTACAGATCTCACACATATTTAGTCAGATTTATCCATAAGTATTTCATATGTTTGATGCTAGCAAAATATAAAACAATTTCCAATTGTTTGTTGCTAGCACAGAAACATACACAGGCATACTTTGTTTTACTGTGCTGCACTTCATTGCACTTCACAGATTTTTTTTACAGGACCCTCCACCGGCATAAAGATTACAATTCACTGAAGGCTCAGATGATGGTTAGCATTTTTTAGCAGTATTTTTAAATTAAGGTAGTACACTGTTTTTTAGACATAATGATATTGCACACGGAATAGACTACGTTACAGTGTAGTGTAAACATGTTTTATATGCACCTAGGAAGCCAAGAAATTCATGTGACTTGCTTTACTGCAATATTTGCTTTATTGTGGTGATCTGGAACTGAACCCAGAACATCTCCAAGGTGTGCCTGTAATTTGTTTTTGCATATTGGTCTTGTATGTGTAACCCTGCTAAACAAACTTATTAGTTCTAATTGCGTTTTTTTTTTTTTTGGACTAGGATTTCTACATAGATGATCATGTCAACAGTGAACACCAACAACTGTGCTTCTTCCTTTCCAGTCTGGATCATTTTACTTCTTTTTCTTGCCTTATTGCACTGGCTAGAACTCCAGGATGATGATGAACAGAATGAGTAAGTGCGGACTTACCTAATCTTGGGGGAAAGTATACAATGTTTCACTATTAAGTACCATGTCAGTTGCAGGCTGTCAAGCCGAGGAAGTTGCCTAGAATTCCTAGCTGGCAGAGTTTTTTAAAAACATTAGGAATGGATGCTGGATTTTCTAAAATGCTTTTACTGTTTCTATTGAAATAAACACATGATTTTTCTTTTGTAGTTTCATAATAGTTGAAGTCTACTGATTAAGTTGCTAATGTTAAACCAACTCTGCATTCCTTGACAAATCCCAACTGGTCATCACATATTAGCCTTTTTATATATTATTGGATTTGATTTGCTAAAATGTTGCTAAGAATTTTTGCAACTATGTTCATGTGGGAGATTGGTCTGTACTTTTTTCTTCTTGTAATGTCTTTGGTAGCAGGGCAATGTGGGCATAATAAAACGAGTTGAGAAGTATTCCCTCCTCTCAATTTTCTTGAGAGTTTGTGTAGAATTCCTATTATTTCTTCCTCAAATGTTTGGTAGAATACACAAGTAAAGTCATCTGGGCATCTAGTTTTCTTTGTGGGAAGGTTCTTAATTACAAATTGGATTTGTTTAATAGAAATAGAGCTAACCGGGCTTTAAATTTCCTCTTGAGTGAGTTTTAGTGGTTTTTGTCTTTCAAGAAATTTGTCCATTTCATATAAGTTAAACTTACTGGCATAAAGTTGTTATACTATTCTTTTATTATCCTTTTAGGACCAATGGAGTCTGTAGCAATGCCACTTCTTTTGTTCCCGTTATCGATAACTTTTCACCCTTTTTACTAATCAGTCTGGCCAGAAGTTTGTCAATTTTACTGATCTTGTAAAAAAGACAGCTTTTGGTTTAATTTTCTCTATTGTTTTCCTGCTTTGTTTGATTAGTTTCTACTTTGATCTGTATTATTTCCTTTCTTTGCATTCTTTTGGATTTAATTTGCTCCTCTTTCTAGTTTAAAGTAAAAGTTGAGTTCAGTGATGTGCAACCTTTTAAAATATTAATCCAATTTAGGTATTCAGTATTGTAAAATTCCCCTTAGAGTACAGCTCTCCTGACATCCCACAATTTGATATGCTGTATTTCCATTTTCATCCAGTTCAAAAGCTTTCTAATTTCCCTTTTGATTTCTCCTTTGATTCATGGATCATACAGAATTATGTTATTTATTTTCCCAATAGCTGATGATTTTCCAGATATTTTTTATTGGTTTCTAATTTAACTCCATTTTTGTCAGAAAACCTATGGCACGGAAAAAATGGTCTATCTTGGTAAATATTTCATATGCACTGGAAAAAATATGCCGTTGGGTGGAGTGTTCTATAAAAGTCAATCAGGTCAAGTTGGTTGACACAGCCAATACGAATTTCTGGGCGTTTGTTCCATTGATTACTGAGAAAGTGGCATTGAGAGCCCCAACTATCATTGTGGATGTGTCTATTTCTCTTCGCAGTTCTA